GTAAGGAGGTGGTTGGAGTGTGGGGTTCTGGATTGGTTGGTTTGCATTTGAAAGGCACCCTCCTGGTGAGTTGCTCACTGCCTCTAGGAATTGACTAATCTTTGGGGTAGGGACGGGGCTAGTCCCTGCAGGATCAAGAGCCCAGATGTCCAAGTATCAGAAAACTGAAAATAAAAGGCGGGATTAATTAGCCTTTTTACCCTTCCCCTCAATCTTCTTTGCTAGTGCCCGCCGTCCCAGGGATCTATAAATGTTGGAACGGCCCACATTCCAGTCTTTCGACACTTTTTCTCCTCTGTCTCTCTTGTGGTGATGTCACGCAGCCCTATGGCATTAAGTAACATGTAGACATTGAGCACTCCCAAATTTACCTCTACCCCAAACTCTGGACCCCCTGTCCAACTGCCTACTGCATATCTTCACATGGATGTCGAGCTGGCATCTCAAACTGAGTACGTGCCAAACACGTCCTGATTTCTGCTCCTTAATCTGTTTCTCTCCTCCACCTTCTCCAGTTTAAAAAATACCACCTGCATTGCCCTAATGCCTCAAGTCTCAAATGTGGAAAATTTCCTGCATTTATCTATTTTTGTCAAACTACATATCCAACCTGACAGCAAATCTCATAAGGTCTTATTTGAAAAGATAGAAGACCTAAGTAAATGGAAAGACATGCTATGTTCATTTTTGGAAGACTTAACATTATGAAGATTGGTATATTCCCCAATGGATCTACAGATTGAGTGCAATTCCTATCAAGATTCAAGATTCCAACTGCCTTTTTTTTTTTTTTTTTTTTTTTTTTTTTTTTTTTTTTTTTTTTCCTTTTTGGAAATGGACAACCTGGTCCTAAAATTCCTGTGGAAATGTAAGGGAGCCAGAGTAGCCACAGACCCAGGAGCTCAATCTTCCTGTGAAGGAAGCCTAGAAGCTAATCATTCACGGCTGCACCCTGAGAGGCAGGGTGCTGATTAACACACCTGTAGGGGCTGGTGTAATCCTTTCCAGAGACCTTAGAAGGCTGGTGCTATTTGCACACTCATCCTCTGACGTACTGCAGAACACTAGTGTCTCCTGCCAGGGATCCTTACAGGGTATACTGGGTTTTTGCAGCAGCTGCCCATGGGACTCCTTACCCCTTCATCACCCGGCTCTGTTGGCCAGAGGGCTTGAATTCCTAGGTTCAAGAGGACTGTGAAATTGAGAGACAGCTCTGGGCAGGCTGATGCCTCCAGAGCACTGCACAAATAGCACACTGATGCACACACCCCAGTCTTTCTGTGAGGAAAGCCTTTTTGCTTCTGCTAGGGCTGCACACTGATGGGCAGGGTGACGGTCTTGCACACATTTGGTGGCCTGCAGAGCTGCTCCTGATTAACATAGGCTGTGGGCGCCATCTTGGTGCCCTCCCTCTGCTTCATTTCAGTTCACCAGCAGGACCCAGAAGAAAGCTTGTATACTCATCTTGAGCCCAAATTGTTGTGACTGCTACCCAGAGGACACCTCCAAGTTGCCTGGTTCTGGTGGCCAGTAGGACTTACACTTGCAGGCCACAGGACTGTATTATTTCTATACTTTTGCAAGCTGATGCGTGAGGATCTGACTTTCAGTCAACCTGAATCTAGATGTAAAGATCCTCCCCTTTTGGATACTAACAGGCACATCCTCCACTACTGCGAATTATTTTAAGAAAATAGAATCAGCTGCTTGGACAAACATAAAGATTTGCAAGACAACCAAGAGATGAGACATGGTTGAACATTAAGGTTCATCTCCTACATAAGACCAATCCTTCAAGACTGGGAAAGTAGTTGTTCCATCTACAGTGTAGAAACAGAGTTCAGCAAAATGAAAGTGAGGAATATGTTCCAAAGCATTCAATAACTAGTATTGGAAATATTGGACAACCACATGCGAAGAATGCAACTGGACCACTCTCTTACACCATACACAGAAATCAATTCAAAATGGATTAAAGACATGGATGTAAGACCTGAAACCAAAAAAGTCCTCGAAGAAAACATAGGCAATGAGCTTCTTGGCAAAAAAAGACATATAGATAACCAACCGGTACATGAAACAGTGCTCAATGTCACTAATCATCAGGGAAATGCAAATCAAAACCACCATGAGATATCACTTGTTAGAATGGCGAGTATCAAAGAGACAAGAAATAACAAGTGTTGGTGAGGATGTGGAGAAGAAGGAAGCTCCTGTGCACTTTGGTAGAATTGTAAATTGATGTGGCTACTATGGAAAAAAGTATGGAGGTTCCTAAAAAAAAATAAAAATAAAACTACCATATGGTCCAGCAATTTCATTTCTGGGTATTTATCTGGAGAAAATGAAAATGTAACTCAAGATATATACACCTTCATGTTCATTACAATATTATCGCAGTATTATTGATAATAGCCAAGATATGGAATCAACCTAAGTATGTGTGTGTATGTGTATGAGAGGGAGAAATGGAATATTATTCATCAGAAAAAAAAAATGAAATTTTGCCATTTGCAACAACATGGATAAAACTCAAGGAGATTACACTAAGTGAAATATGTGAAACAGAGAAAGACAAATATTGTATGATTTCATTTACATGTGGAATCTAAAACAAACGACAACAAACAAACCAGGCTCATAGATACAGAGAGCAGATTGGTGGTTGCCAGAGGCAGGTGTTTAGGGGTGGGAGAAATGGGTAAACTGTTTTTGTTTTGTTTCTAATTTTAAAAATTAAAAAAAAAAAACAGGACTTCTTAGAGAAAGGTTAATTGTGTGTGTGGGCAATAGACACATGAAGTCAACTTAAGGCAATTTGTACAGAAAGCAAACAAACTTTCCAAGATTGATAGGATTGTGTGAAAAGCAAACAGAGGCTACCTTGAAGGGACTTCCAGTAGCCAAAACTATAATGATTTAATCTATAAAGGAACAATTATTATCTTTTTAAAAACCCTCAAAATGGGATCAGAGACCTAACTATAAGAACTGAAGCTATAAAATAGAAGAAAACATAAATCTTTGTGACCTTGGATTAGGCAATGGTTTCTTAGATATGACACCTAAAGCACAAGCAATAAAAAAGAAAATAGATAAATGCACTTCATCAGAATTAAAATAATTTGTGCTTTAAAATTAAATTAAATTAAAATATTTGTGCTTCAAAGAACATTATCAAGAAGCTGAAAAGACAAGTTGCAGAGTGGGATAAAGTGTTTGCAAATTATATATTTGATAAACAGTTTGGCAATTTCTCAAAAAGTAAACATAGAGTTACTATTTAACCAAACAGTTCCACTCCAACATATCCAAGAGAATTGGAAACATGTCTACACAAAAATTTGTACGTGAGTGTCCATAGCAGCATAATTCATAAAAGCCAGCCAGTAGGAACAACCCAAATGGATCGTTGGCATATGAATGGCTAGACAAGATGTGGTATAGTTATACAATGAAATACTATTCTACCATTAAAAGGAATGAAGTACTGATAGGTGCTACAGCATAAATGAATCTTGAAAATATTAAGCTCAGCGCAAGAAGCTGGATTCAAAAGGCCACAATGTGTAATTCCATTTAAATGAAATATCCAGAATAAGGAAAACAATAGAGACAGAAAGTGTATTGGTGGTTGCCAGAGGTTGGAAGGAGAGGGAAGGGAAATTGGGAAGTTTCTGTCAATGGGTATTGGGTTCCTTTCTGGGGGTAATGAAAAGAATCCAAACTTAGATAGTGGTGTGGGTTTCACAATTCTGTGACTATACTAAAAACCACTGAATTGTACCACTGAATTGTCTGTGTTTTCCATATTTATGTACATACACATGCATGCACGTGTATACACACACACACACACACACACACACACATAATCCTCTGTTGTATGTCAGTTACACTTCAATAATGCTGTTGGGAAAAAATAAATTTAAAGAACAAATGTATATTCGTATATAACATATGCCACTTCTCACCTCCACCAGCTCCATCACTCAATCCAACCTATCTTCATCTCTGCGTAAACATGCCTCACTGGTCATCCTGCTTCTCATCTTGTCCAACCCACTCTCCTTCCCAAGAGTCTGTTGTCTACACCAAAGCTGAGTCCTCTTTTCAAAATGCAATGAGATCAGGTCATTCACCAGATCTAAATCCTCTGCTGGCTTTCCATCACACTGAGACCTCAGAGCAGATCTGCTTGTACCTGATTTGGATGTATGGCTCCAACCAATTTCCCTTGGAGAAATGGTTCCATAGCTAATAAAATTTTGAAAGCCTCTGTGAGGACAGAATAGCTGACAGTAGTATATCCTGTCCCTTTTGCCTCAGCCACCAGAAGTCCTGGGATGGGAGAAAGCCTGTGAGCAAATGTGGAAGCTTAGGAGTTTTAGCAAGACCAAGGTTGAGCACCCGCTCAATGTCGCCACTTCTGTGCTCTCCCTGTCTAACCTGCTTAGTAACAGGTAGTTCAGACAATGGGCAAACTCCATCACAACACTCAAAAGAACTTGTCACTTTACCTGCTCAGGGAAATATCAAGTGCTTATTGAGAATTTAGTTCTGTTCTACTGTATGCTATCTTTGAGTACCTAGCTCCCAGAGTTCAAGCCCACCTCAAGAAGCTGGTATGCATTATTCATTTGACAATCATTTGATTTTCAAGGATCCACTGCTGAAAAATCTATGGGAGGCTTTGTGGAAGGGACAAGGAGGTTCAGACAATCAGCAGTGTGGGTGACTTGTGAGGACTGGTTCATATTCAGAGAAGGAAGAGCTTCTAATTTGGATCGATAAAGAATGCCTCACTTCCCCTCACCCCCTCTCCGGCATTCAACTTATAACTTCTCTTCCAGGCTCTGCTCTGCCCCCTCTGCTGCCCCCTCACCCCCAGAACAGTTGTTTACGAGTCATTTCCCTGTTTTCAGGAATGAGCAAATCACCAAATCACAAGATCCAGCAAAACTGCAGAAGGCCCTGAGACTTTCAATTATTTGTTTCAGATCGGGTACAGAACATGTTCCTCCTGCTGATGTTGAGCTTGGGAAAGCAGCTTCATCAGACAGCAGGTAAGAAAGGGCAAAGGGAGGGTCCTGAGAAAGAGGAATAGGCAGCTGACCCATAGCTGAAGCCAATGGTGAAAATGAGGTCCTCAGGCTGAAGGCTTTCTTTGAGAGGAAGTGTGATTACTGTCACATGCACAGTAAAAAGAAGGGTGCCCAGGGTGGCTTGTATTTTCCCATGCCCATGTCTTACAGGAACAGTAACCATTCGGCAGATGAAGGTACTGGAATTCAGAAAGCTATTTAATTTTCCTGAGATTATGTAGTCATTAGGCGTCACAGGCAAGCTTCCTGAAGAACTTTCTACCTTACCAGCCTACAGTGATGATGAGAATCAAGCATGGCCGACAATCCCTAGTCTTCCCACTTGGAATGGGTGTTTGGAGTTAAGTTTGATCATGGACGTATACTGAATGTTGATACTACACATTTACAAAACCAAAAAATATGTACGATGAATTATGTTTATGAATTAGCCAAAAGGAAACTATAAACATATCGTATCTTGGGGCACCTGAGTGGCTCATTCGGTTATGCATTGGACTCTTGATTTTGGCTCAGGTCATGATCTCGCAGTTCATGGGTTTGAGCCCCACATGGCAGTGACAGTGTGGAGACTGCTTGGGATTCTCTCCCTCTCCCTCTCTCTCTGCCCCTCCCCCATGCTCCCTCTCTCTCTCTCAAAATAAATAAACTTTTAAAAAATCTAAAAAAGAAAAGAAAAGAAAAAGTGAAGTGGCTCTATATATTTCATTGGACATGCCATGCTGTAATTTATTTATCCAGTCCTTTATTGATGGAAATTTTAGTTATTTCAAAAAAAAATTTTTGAGTCTTGCTGGATTAATGCTTGGAAAAAAGTCTGCTTCCTAAACACTGTGATGAAAACGAACTCAGGGTATGACTCAGGTAAACCATTTATCATGAACGCTTTCCTTACCTGTGTGCCCTGTGTGTGGTGCTCTATTCTGTTATCTGTAAAACAATTTAAAATTTGAAGAGAAAAATTGGCAGAAAACATTTCATTTTTTAAACATTTATTCATTTTTTTAATATGAAATTTATTGTCAAATTGGTTTCCATACAACACCCAGTGCTCCTCCCAACAGGTGCCCTCCTCAATGCCCATCACCCACCCTCCCCTCCTCCCCACCCCCCATAAGCCCTCAGTTTATTCTCAGTTTAAACATTTATTCATTTTTAAATTGGCGTACAGTAACATTTAATCTTTTTAGTAAAAACATCTATGAGTTTTTGGCAAACATGTAGTCCTATAACCACCCCTACAATCAAGATCCACAACAGTTGTATCACTTGCCAAGCAAACACACAAAAACCATCCCCAAACTCTTAAAGCCAGGTGCCCACTGTTCTCTGTGCTAGAGTTTTACCTTTTCTAGGATGTCATGCTAATGGGATTATTCATTAGATATGCTTTCTGTCTGCTTCTTTCACTTAGCATAATGCAATTGAGATTTATCAATATTGTTAGATATATCAATAGTTCATTCCTTTTCTCTTGTTGAGTAGTATTCCACTGTATGTACATACCAGAGTTTGCTTATTCATTCCCCAGTTGAGGGACTTTTGGGTTGTTTCCTGTTTTGGGGCAATTATGAATCAAGTTACTATAAATGTTTATATATAGATTTTCATTTTAATTTCACTTGGGTAAACACCTAGGAGTAGGATGGCTGGGTCATATGGGAAGTAAATATTTAACTTTATAAGAAACCACTAAGCCTTTCCATAGTGGCTATACCATTTTTACATTCCCCTTGCAAAGTGTGAGAGCTCCAATTGTTTCACATTCTTGGCAGCACTTGGCATTGACATTGTCATTTTTTTTTTAAGTCATGTTAATAGGTGTGTAGAATTATCTCTTTGTGTTTTAATTTGCATTTTCCTAATATCTAGGAAAATAGATATTTCTTAATATCTAGGGATGATGAGCATATTTTCGCATGGCAGTTGGACATCTATATGTCTTCTTTGGTAAAATCTGTATTCAAACTATTTGACCATTTTTAACTAGAATTCAGAAAAGCTATTTAATGTACCCAAGATTATGTAGTCATTAGGTGTCGCAGGCAAGTTTCCCTCAAAACTAATGTCCTTTCTACCTTACTAGCCTACAGTGATGATAATCATCAAAAATGGCAGACTTATTGGGGTGCCTGGGTGGCTCAGTCGGCTAAGCATCCGACTTCAGCTCAGGTCATGATCTCATTGTTTGTGAGTTCAAGCCCTGCGTTGGGCTCTGTGCTGACAGCTCGGAGCCTGGAGCCTTCTTCGGATTCTGTGTCTCCCTCTCTCTCTGTGTCCCTCCCCTGCTCATGCTCTGTCTCTCTCACTCTCAAAAATGATTAAATGTTTTTAAAAATGGCAGACTTATTAAGTTTTTTTCATTTTCTTATTAAGTTTTTAGAATTCTTTGTATTTTCTAGATGCAAGTCCTTTATCAGACGCATGATATGCAAATATTTTCTCTCAGTCTGTGGCTCATTTTTCATTCTCTTACCAGTGTCTTTTGCACAGCAAAGATTTTAATTTAGATGGAATCCAATTTGTCTTTGTTTTCTTATACGAACTGTGCTTTTGGTGAGATGGCTAAGAACTCTGCCTAATCCAAACTCTCAAAGATTTTTTTCCTATCTTTTCTTCTAAACATTTTATTTATTTAAACATTTTTTTTTCAATGTTTATTTCTTTTGAGAGACAGAGCGTGAGCGGGGAAGGGGGCGAGAGAGAGGGAGACACAGAATCCACAGCAGGCTCCAGGCTCCAAGCTGTCAGCACAGAGCCTGACACGGGACTTGAACTCACAAGCTGTGAGATCATGACCTGAGCCGAAGTCAGAGGCTTAACCAGCTGAGACACCCAGGCGCCTCTCTTCTAAACATTTTATAGTTGTACATTCTTAGGTTTACCATCCGTCTTGAGTTGATTGTTGTCATCAAAGATATAAAGTATAGGTTGAAGATCTCTTTTTTTTTTTTTTTTTTTTTTTTTTTTTTTTGGCATGTGGATGTCCAATTTCTTGAGCCCCATTTGTCGAAAAGACTATCCTTTCCCCATGACTCACCTTTGCACCTTTGTCAAACATCGATTGACCGTCTTTGTGTGGATCTACTTCTGGACTCCATTCTGTAATCTGTTCTGTTGGTCTCTGTGTGTACACTTTCATCCATAGCACACTCTTCGAATTTCTGTAATGTTGTGGTTCTTCTTTTCTTATAATTGAATTTCAAAACCTAAGAACATCTTGTAGCCCAGATACATTTAAGGGGAAATATTCATTTCTTTACTTTGTCATGTCTTGGGGGGAAAAGTAACCCCAATTGTTATTCCTTTTATTGATGTTTTCTTCTTTCTTCATCCTCCAGAGAAGAATAAAACCAGGGGGGCACATGACCATGGTGATGCTTGAGGTCACTCTGAGGGTGGGGACCACACCCTGGGTCACTCCACTTAAACTGTCTTCAGCCTCTGAAACCACTTGTTTGGACCCCTGAGGTATACAAGGCAGAAAATCAGGTTTGGGAAAGGATTTCTAAGAACTGAGATGCACCCAGGCCGTTTTCCTACAAAGAGAAGCAGATGAATCAGGTGCCCAGAACAGGCTTCTATCCTAAAGCAGGAACTATAGTTTTCTGAAGACTGTGGTTGTGTAAAGCAGCCCCCACCTTTCAAGTTCATTAAGTACACAGTCTGAAAAAAACACTTAAGCTTCTGTTATTAAATGGGGGGGAAAAAGTATAAAATTAGCTTAAAGGGGAAGCTATCTTGGGAGGTAATGCAAATGATTTGTTTTGTGTTTCTGGAGATGTGACAGGTGCTGACTCCTATTGATGCCTGATTGCAAATAAAGTGCACAGCTTCCCCAAGAGCTTTCAGAAAGGTCCAGCACTACTCAAACCAGCTGCTTTGATCTGATTAAAAAGCTGCATATATGAATTTTGCATGCCCTGGCCAAATTTTTTTACCCTTTAATTCAGTCAGGGGGCCCAAATGATAGGAAAACCTGTTTTGCTCTAGGTTTTGCCTGCTTAATTTTGTAGTCGTGGAAACTTTCCGATTTTTTCCTTTGTCTCATAACTTTAGGAGTTCAATGCTAGGTTAAAGCATAAATTCATAACTATATTAACTTCAAGCTATATTACAAAGGTATAGTCATCAAAACAGTATAGTACTGGCATAAAAACAGACACATCACTCAATAGAACAGAATAAAGAACCCAGAAATAAGTACACGTGCACAGACATACACACAGAGAAAGAAAATATATTTTTGTTATCATAAAGCTGAAAAGTGTATCTATGTCATTTGTGGATGTGTTGTATACATGCCAGTGGATATATAGTCATATCTGGAGAGTTGTTAGCACAGGCTTTCAAGACACGGAGATCTGAGCTGAAATCCCCACTCCATGAGCTGCCATTCTTTGATCTTGGGCAAGTGGTATCACTTCTGTAAGCCTACATTTCCCCATCATAAGACAGGCATGGTAACTCCCACCTTGCAGAGTTTGGGGAACATCAAATGAGATGCTGATGTAAGGTTAGCTCAGTGTCTGGCTCATTGTGTTCAATAAATGTTAGCTATCTCTGCTTCCCAGTAACACTCCAAACGCGGGCTAGTGTTAGAACTCTTGTTTCCCAGACACGAATGTTGACATGACTCAACTCAACTTTGTTGGAGTGCAGTGTCTGCTTCTCTAGTCTGAGGCACAGCTTGAGATTCTAAATTCCTAACTTGCTCTGACGTAAAGCTGGGGGCACTTTGAAAGGCAGGACAATAAAAGGCGTTTGTGTGTGCAGGTGTTTTATTGATCTAACCAGTGGTTCTCAATACCTCTACACGTTAGAAGCTCTCAAGGAAATTTTGCTTTAAAATTGATGCTGGCCTCACAAAAGAATTAGAATTTATATTTACAGGATCCAAGGTGGTACTCCTGTATCCCTTGGGTAAATTCCTAGCAGTGCTGATGCACAGGGGCACTTGTACCCCAATGTTTATAGCAGCACTCTCAACAATAGCCAAATTATGGAAAGAGCCTAAATGTCCATCAACTGATGAATGGATAAAAAAATTGTGGTTTATATACACAATGGAGTAATATGTGGCAATGAGAAAGAATGAAACATGGCCCTTGGTAGCAACATGGATGGAACTGGAGAGTGTGATGCTAAGTGAAATAAGCCATACAGAGAAACACAGATACCATATGTGTTCACTCTTATGTGGATCCTGAGAAACTTAACAGGAACCCATGGGGGAGGGGAAGGATAAAAAACAAAAAAAAAGAGGTTAGAGTGGGAAAAAGCCAAAGCATAAGAGACTCTTAAAAACTGAGAACAAACTGAGGGTTGATGGGGGGTGGGAGGGAGGGGAGGGTGGGTGATGGGTATTGAGGAGGGCACCTTTTGGGATGAGCACTGGGTGTTGTATGGAAACCAATTTTACAATAAATTTTATATATTAAAATAAATAAATAAATAAAAATAAAGGATCCAAGGTGGGGCCTGGTATTTTTAAAAAAGTCTTTCAGGTGATTCCAATGACGGCCAGAGCTGAGGCACTCTGCTTAGTGATTCCGCTGTGCATCGAGGCTTGAGAAAAATATCTTCACACAGTTGTTTGCAAACATTTTCTTACCTCCTCTGCAGTTTACGATAAGCAAGAATAATTTAGGATTTTAAACATGTATTTCATTTCCTAAACTCATTTTTATATGATAATCAAGCTCAAAGCTTTGCATGTCTTAGACGCTTTGAGACAAAACTACACCAAATAAGAACTCATCCTCCAGTTACCCTGGGCCATCAGATATTTGATTCATGTTTGCTAATTGCTCTTTCCTCCTGTGAACATAAACCGAAAACTGTTCACCTGCCTAAGAGGTAACGTACTTTATGCCACAGCCCCTACACACACACTCTGTATAAGGCAGAGGAGAGAAGCAAGCAGAAAATGGATTTTTGTCAAAGGCCCAGAGCGTAAAGAGGGGAGTTCTGCCCTCTGCTATGGGGAGTTCCAGCGGAAGTTACAGACTGTCTCTCTCTGTCATGAGAAGAAAGCCTAAGTGTGGTAAATAAATTTGTTAAATAAATTCAATAGAGGCAACACCCAAAGTCTTCTGACACTTGTTATATCTCAGATTCAGGGACTGAACTTTCTCGCAAGCCCCATTTCTCTTCCCTGTTTCCTGCTTTATCACGTGTAATAAGATAACAGAAGGAGAGTAAGAGTAAATCCCTGCATCTGGCACACAGAAGATGGTTACTATGCATTTGGTGAAAGAATCAGTAAATAGTACTCTTCAGGCCAGAGTGCATTTGATAGCAGATAGCTCTGTCTTGGTTATAGGGGGACTTCATAACTCAAAGTTTGGAGATGGTTCCCATCATCAAGGGGTCTACCCTTAAGAGGGTCCTATTATGGAGACCCAGGGTGAGAGGTATTACTCTCAGGTGTTCAGTGGGTTTCATGAAATGGAATCATGCAGGAAATTCAGAAGCACAAATCTCTTTCCACACGTGTCATTCCAGGGTCTTCTCAATCTGTCCAAGCAAATGCAGGTGTGATTAGCAGTGTTTTACAGAGAGGCCCTCATGTTGTACACCTGCCCCGCCCCATCCTGCACCACAGAATGCTGGGCAGATATGAGCTCTAGCAGTGTTAGAAAGTCACCTTCATGTTCTGGTCATGGTTGAAATCAGGTTTGGAGGCAAGATATAAACTTGCCAATCATTTTCGATAAATGTCAAGTTTTGTGCATAACTATCAAGTTTGCTGTGTGATGATTAAGAATGACAGTCTGTGCAATTTGGGTAAGTTGCAGTTTGATGAGAGGAAAACAGAAGTGAGTATGGTTAGGCTTGTCCTTTCTTCTTCTTCTCCCTCTTTCTGTCATTTATTTGCCTTTAACTGGAACTTAGTATGTGCTAGGCACTGGAGACACCACAACAGACTCAACCTGGTCACTGCCTTCAAAGTCTTGCAGGATAGTAGAAGGAGAAACTCAAGTCAGAAGAGAAATTGCCATGTGAATCCTTCAAGCAACAGGAAACCCAAAATTTACGTATACTGTAAAATCTGTTGCCCAAGATGGTCAGGGAATGGGCTGTCCTGGTTGATAAAATATCGTGGTCAATAAAGAAAGGCCATGTATTGCATAGGTGGATGACCACTTCCCCAAGAATTAAAACATGGTGCAAAAGAAAGGAACTGATGTTTACGGACTGCTACCTGCCAAAATAAGGCACTTCATATGTGCTATTTTGCCTAGTTTTCCCCCACAATACTTACATGCAGATTCTAACCTTACACCTGTATAGATAAAGAAGCAAAGACTCACAGAGCTAAATGACATGTTCAAGATCAAAGCACTCATAGTCTCAATACTAGTCAAGGTTCATCTGTCACTAAATCCCATGCTCTAACTGTACCACTTTTCATAATGGTAAAAACTCCTTGAGTAGCATCTGCTCAGATGCCATCCCCAAGTATGTGTTGAATGGATGTTTTGACTAATCAAATTAATGGATGAATGAAGGAAGCTCTCCTGAATACAGTTTTGTCTAATCTTTTGTCAGGATTCAGAAATGACTTTAAGATCTTGCTGCACCTCGGTCATAATGAATATCCATCCGTTAATGATGGAGGCAGCATAATTTTCTACAGTTGCCCACACTTTATCCATGCATACACCACCTTCGTTCATTTTGCTTTGCTTTACCACTCTTCATGCTATTGCTTTTATGGGATTCTTAAATTTTTTTTTTCAACATTTATTTATTTTTGCGACAGAGAGAGACAGAGCATGAACGGGGGAGGGGCAGAGAGAGAGGGAGACACAGAATCGGAAACAGGCTCCAGGCTCTGAGCCATCAGCCCAGAGCCCGACGCGGGGCTCGAACTCTTTATGGGATTCTTTAAATCAACTCAGCTTTAATTTTTTGAACAAAATGGTATACCCCTGTGGTAAATGGAAAACCAGTATAGTATCACTGTTACTGGTAAATAGAGGATATGAACAAAAACAAGTGCAACAAAAGTAGTGTTATTAAATTCTACCCAGATCTACAGTATCTGCCTGGGAACTTCCTGTTTTATTAAAAGAAGAAATAGCGATTGTTGGAGGTGTGAGAGTCTAATTGCAAATTATATGTTGTTTGAAAGACTGAAGTAGAATTGAAGAGGAAATAAGTTTGTCTCTGGGTAATTCAGTTCCCTTTAGGCCTTAATTCTACCCTAGATAAAATTATTTCATGTACTTCGTAGGTGCCTCATATTTTGGGAAATACCTTTGCAGTAGAAACTATTGATTTTTAAGTCAAACATCTAACTGGCTCTAAATTTTAACTTTACTAATTGTATGTCCTAGAGTGAATCACTTTGAGCCAGTTTCTTCAACTATAAAACAGTAATATTAATACGTATTTCATGGTTATATTTTCAGGATTAAGTGGCATAGTTATAACCTAGCACTTGGGGTGTCTGGGTGGCTCAGTCGGTTAAGCATCCGACTTTGGCTCAGGTCATGATCTCATAGTCCGTGAGTTTGAGCCCCACATCAGGCTCTGTGCTGACAGCTCAGAGCCTGGAGCCAGCTTCAGATTCTGTGTCTCCCTGTCTCTCTGCCCCTTCCCCACTCACACTCTGCCTCTCTCTGTCTCAAAAATAAATAAACATTAAAAAAAATAATAACAATAACGAGCCTAGCACAGTGCCTGGTGTATAATAGGCATACACTAAACATTAGTTCTATTCCTCTCTTCTCCTTATTGACAGAAAATAAACTTCTCCAGTGGGGTTGTATGATGTGATGGGTGAGGGCACTAGGGACATACCTGGGTCTGATCCTGGCTACTTTTCTGTGCCTCAGTTTCATTTTCTAAAAAGAGGATGGCTCTACCTTGCTGGCTTCCTGGGAGGACAAAATGAGACTGTGTGTTAGCAGATGCCTAGCATATACTAACAACTCAACAAATGATAGCTGTTACTATTACTATCACTTGTGAGGGGAGGTAGTATTTGGCAGGGAATGATATAATTTGATCCATATGGAGAAAATGAGTCTGGGTAATAGCTGACAGGCGAGCCATCAGCTCCACAGTTGTGGAGGGTTGAGAGAAGAGAACTACCTCACAACAGTGGATCCAGAATTCCACTCTTGCCCAGACAGAATAGGGCACAGCAGAGAAAGAGCCCAAAGGACTGCTCAATGCGTGACAGGTGTCTCCTGGAAAATGGGGGTGTGATGGGTCTCCTCAGCTCCCACTCTGCACGGAACTGAAATGTGAAGGCAGACAATGGGAGAATGTTTTGTGTTCTGTTCAGCTTTATTCACAGTGATGGTCTCCCAGGAACTATACACAGTAGACTACGGCAGCAATGTGACCCTGGAGTGTAATTTTGACACTGAAGGTCATGTGGAACTCAAGGACTTAAGGGCCAGTCTGCAGAAGGTGGAAAACAATACATCTTTGCACAGTGAAAGAGCCACTTTGCTGGAGGAGCATCTGTCTCTGGGGAAGGCCTTATTCCACATCCCTCGGGTGCAAGTGAGTGATGCAGGACAGTATCGCTGCCTGATCATCTATAGGGTCGCCGGGGACTACAAGTACCTGACTCTGAAAGTCAAAGGTGAGTAGTTTCAAGGACGAGAATCTTTGGAGGCATCGGCACAAGCAAAAACTGGGAGGTGGTTACAAGGAGACCGGGCAGTCTTAGAGAAAACAGAAGCACCTGCGCAGAAGTATTTTTTAATCTCTGAGTGTAACACAGCTGAGGTGAGGGGAAATAGGGGCAGGAGTTGCAAGAATAATGTGGGTCTGAAGGGATGGCAGGAAATGCGTCCCTGAAAGGCGGGAGGACACCAAAGCTAAGCCCTGCCTTGCCCACAGTCCTCCAAAGGAACAACACTGACCTGATTGTTAAGCTCCTCTTTGAGAGAAGCTCATTCCTCTGGTCCAGAGTTTTTTAAGCCCTGGTTTGCCAACCATTAATGGATGGAAGTATCAATTTAGTGAGTAGCAACCAGGTAGGTGACTTTTTCCCAATAAAATGAATGAGCAAAATGAATAGATCAAAAGGCATCACATAGTAGGGCTGAGTGTTGTGACACTCTTGTTTCAGAGGTGTGTGTGTGTGTGTTGGTTGGTTGGTTTGTGATGTAAAATATTTTTGCTCACTCTGGGTCACAGTTTAAGAAGTTTGGAAAACACTGCTCTTGTCCAAGCTTCACCTATTGCAGATGAAGCAGCTAAAGTCCAGAGAAGTCAAGTGGGTAGGCTGGGGGAGCCCCGTTAAGTCAATAGCTGTCCCCATTCCTCTAGGTTAAGGGCTCTCCTTACCCCGATACAAGCCAAGAACCTAAATCCGAAGATAATCTTCAAGTTCATGTTTGTTCTGGAAAAGGTCATTTTGGAAAAGACCATAAAAGAACAAAGACTTGGCTCTGTTCATCAGCTTGTGTTTTTCATTCTGCCCGGACTGCTCTGGGTTTTTTCTCTGTCCCCTTCCAATCTCACCCATTAGGCCTCAGAGGATCTGTTCTGTCTTCTGGAAAGTCCATAGACTTTGGTCCCTAAAGACCATTGACCTTGGCAGCAATGTTGTAACTTTATGATCTGGCACAAAGAAGGACAAACTAGAAGGGTTAGACATAAGGGTGAATGTTGTTTCCACCTGTGGCCTTGGGCAGGTTATTTCACCTTTCACAATCTCACATTTTTCTTATTTGTAAAACGATAACAATAGTAGCACCTACCACATAGGATTATTGTAAAAATTGAGATAATGAACATAGAGAACTGAGCATGGTTCTTGGCACATGGTGAGTGTCCAGGGAGTGGGTTTAAAGACCTCCTCTCATCTCAGACATCAATAAGTCATCAGGAAAGTCATGTGCCTGGATAACTGACTTCCACCTTCACTGCATTTCCTACATCCAGAACTGGAATGAACGCTACAACTTTGAAGTTAGCCTGAGTTCAATTAATGGGAAGAAAGAGGGCTCTACATTGTCATGATCTCCTAATGTGTTCAGTATCTTCACCCCTCACTCCCTGACTCCACGTTTGTTAATCTCTATTTAAGTGCTGTAATGCATCTAGGGTCTCTGGGCAATTGGGGGCCAGTCATTTCACGCTTTCTGTCCAATTGAAGGCTGCCCTTCATTCCTGGAAAGCCACTCTGCCAGCTTCATCACCTAGCTCAGGGATGACTCAGGTGTGGAACAGGTTAATTCCTTAAATCCGAATTATTTATTCTTTAAATCATTGATGGTCTTTGAACTAAGGTAGATGGATATACGAAAACTATACTAAGGTATATGGATATATGAAGACAGTTTTAGGAAATGAGTTTCTAATTCCTAATCTTCCCCAACTACTCTTTGCCCAAATTGAGTGTGCCTGAGAATACGCCTTCCAGGCAAGTCTCTTGGGGTTCCCCTAAAACACTTCCTCTTTGATCATTGCCTTCTTCCACTTCATAAAAAGTGTGCCTCTCACCCATTGTGAATATGGTGCATTGCCCTGGGGCGTAGAAAAACATGGCTCTGACCAAAAGAGTGATTAGAAATATTGATACCATATCAAACTTTAAAGACTAATAAATACTTCTGAAAAATAAGTGATATCAAGTTCTGTGTTCAACAAATTTGGAGAAGGCCCTAATAGAGTTAATAGATGATAGCAAAAAATGAAATAGTTTTTTTCCATGTAAATCATAATGAAGTGACATTCCTGTAACAAAACTGCTTCTACTCCCACTTACTTATTCACATGAGTAAGCCCTTCTTGCCACAACAACGGAAAGTCAGAAATAGAACCGATGCTTACCCCTGTCTCATTCCAACCACAAAGTCATATACATCCTCAGATAACTGGACAAGTTGAAAAAGAGAACCCCGTCCATCCTATTAAGAGATACATTTCTAGTCCACTTGCCCTTTTATGCTTAATCATTATTACCATTTTTACATTTGGATCTTACATGTACTGATAATAATAGAAATGAGATTTCCTTTTTTTAGTATTTTAAATGTTTTTATTTATTTTTGAGAGAGAGACAGACAGGCAGATCATGAGCAGGGGAGCAGCAGAGAGAGAGGGAGACCCAGAATCTGAAGCAGGCTCCAGGCTCCAAGCTGTCAGCACAGAGCCTGATGCGGGGCCCGAACTCACCAATGCCAGATCATGACCTGAGCTGAAGTTGGTTGTTTAACCAACTGAGCCACCCAGGTGCCTCAGAAATTAGATTTCAGTGCACAAGAAAACTATGAACACTTGAAGCCTCGTGATCACAAGGGAAAAAACGACCCTCAAGAGCGAGATGTATTTTGTTGTTGCAAAGAAACATAAGGATAATCAATAAAAGAACTTCCAAACATGTTGCGTTAGGATAAAATCCTGCATAAAAAGTGGCACGGGAGCGGAGGGTCACAGAATGACACAGTGTGAAAGAGAAACCATGTAAAGCTCGGACCATTAGAGGAGAATTTTTGTATATATTTTTCCACAGATGGTGGAGTGTATAAAAGATATCTAGCTATCTTTTGCCCTCTAGACACCATTAGATACATCTGTAAGAGTCAAATCATTGTTTTACTTAAAATATAAATATTTACAAAATGCTAAACATAATCTATTTTCCCAATATAGAAACTTAGGAAAAAAATTTTTTTAATTTTTTTTTAATGTTTATTTATTTTTGAGACAGAGAGAGACAGAGCATGAATGGGGGAGGGTCAGAGAGAGAGGGAGACACAGAATCCGAAGCAGGCTCCAGGCTCTGAGCTGTCAGCACAGAGCCCGACGCGGGGCTCGAACTCACGGACAGCGAGATCATGACCTGAGCCGAAGTCGGACGCTCAACCGACTGAGCCACCCAGGCGCCCCGAAACTTAGGAAAATTTTTAAGAACCGACCTAAGACATGTGAGAAGGGGCATACTGCATCCAAGTCCTTTTAGAAGGAATGCAAGCAATAACAGGAAAAGCTGAAGACCGTCAGCTGAGAGTATTCTAACCTGATCAGGGGTCTCTGGAGAAAGCAGGGGAGATTTGGGACCTTAGTAAGGATTTGTTTCAATGAAACAGGAGTAGAGGAAGGATGTGCTTTTTCCTTAAAATGCCTCATCTATGGCATAAACTTGAAAACAGATTTATAGCAACTTCTTGGACGTCCGGGCAATATTTCATATGAAATACACTGAAAAGAGAGCTAACTTCAAAAGTACAGGTAAGTCAATACTAGGTAGAGTGGCTCAAGAGTCCAGAAGAGAGGTTTCTGAAGGGGAAGGCTGCCACTACAGGACTGTGAGTAACCTGTCCGAGGGAGGTCAGGGAGCATGGCCTAAGAGAAGAGCGCCATGACCCCGAGAGGCCAGAGAGGCCAAGGCTTGCGCCCTCAGGTTGAGAACTGGCCTATGCAAAGGATCCCAGACAGTCCCAGAACAAGTCGTAAGAACACAAGAGCCAAAGCAGCCTGAAGTCTCCAGGCAGGGTGGGAGATGGGGACGGGAGACGGTCAACCCCCAGAACGGGCTGAGGCTCACGGAAGTGTTTCCAACCGGTGAAAAAGCCCAAGCTCCTTGGGCATACAGCTTGAGCAAGTCGAGGAAGGAGGTGGCAAGGCTTCCATTTTTCTCTCACAATGGCCTTCACCCTAAGGAGGGCAAGACAAAGGGCACGGGTGGGGTGGGGGGGAACAGCCCAAGGGAAGTGATGCAGCCTGGAAAAGATAATGACAGCCTCTGGACCTAGAGAAAGCATTTGCTTAAGACACTTACTAATAGGGCTAAATCTCTCCTTTCAGTGCCTTTCCCCACTTGGGGAAACAAAAGGGTAATAAGGAAAGCTGGAGTTAATTAAGAAAACAATGTCCCGAATTCTGAAATGAGGAAAAGTGCCTGCAACTTACAAACTATTTAACCTGAAGTTCCTCGGCAGCTCATTTAACAGACAAATTGGGAGCAAGCCTAAAAGATTTATTTCAGCAATTACTACAAACCCGCCTATGTTCTGTTAAGACCGAGGTATTTGTAAAACTATATTTTTTCACCTTAATTACTATCATTATGATAGAGCAGATAATACAATGTGCAGCTTTCTCTTTATTTCAGAAATGCTAGAGTTGCCAGTAGCATAGGGATCATATAGTGAGAGATGACCAGGGAAACAAAAACCATTTAAACCGGTAGAAATTTCAATCAGAAAATAGCAATTCTTTTGATGGAACAGACTGAACAGCCAACCTGGGAACAGTGTGGCAAATCGGCAATTAGCAAGAGCAAGAAGCTGTTGCCCGCACTGGACTGGAGGGAGAGGGGGAAGGCAGGAGTACTGGAGTTCAGAGGCCAAGGTCATTCTACAGACGCTAGAACCACAACGGGCCCATCCAGTGGTAGCAGGAGCCGAGGAAGAGATGTGGGTGCTGGTGGAGAGGCCCCTATAGCATAGAGCATAGGGGAGAAATACCCCGACTTCTCCCTCCCGCTTGCCCTCCAGTCTTCCCACCATGCCTCCTATTGGCTGTCAGGAGCCTGGGGAGATAGCCTGCAGGAGTCTCCTAGATCATTCATTTAGTAAAATTGATCTCATGACCTTAGACTGTATTAAAACCCTGTGTTGGGCCTAAAATGTGCTCCACACATAGGAAGTAATTAGTCCCACTATACTTTGTGCTGCTTAGGTAAAGTCTGGAATATAGGTCATGTTATACTGGCAAACAAAGTGAATCCAAGTCTGGTCTGAAAACTGTCCTCTGAGATAGGGTTGAAGGAAGTAGCCATGTTTTACCCAGAAGTCAAAGACGATATGGAATCTTGCCAGTTATCTTCAAACACCCGAAGGATCATATGCAACAGTGAATAATAATTGCTAACATTAACCGAGTTTTTGCTATATTCTAGGCACCTAAGTCATTCAATCATCCTAACACCTCTGTTAAGGATAAGTATTATTGTACAACCAGAAGGCTCGACAGGTCATGTAACCAGCCCTTGGCTCAGCATAGTCAGACCTTTCAGACTTCTGTCTACTATGCTGCCCCCATGTTGTCTTATTAAACCAGGCAATTACCAATGGTAAGCTGCCCAGAAGCAAAGTTTGGCTTGGCAGAAGGATGATCTCTCCAATGAAAGTTTAGCTTTCTTATTGTCTAATCATGGTAATGGCTACTCCTGAAAAGTAGGAGCTTCCATTAATCGATGTATTTTGCCCAAAGTTAGTTATCTAGCAGGTTACTAATATCAGAAAAGTGTTAGTAAGATAAAAAGGGACATTTCCTAAAGTCAAGACAACAGGGAGACATAACAATCCTAAATGTGTGTACATCTAGCAACATAGCTTCGAAACATATAAAACAAAAATAAAACAGACCTAAAAGGAGAAATAAATCCTCAGTCATGTTTGGAGATTTCAACTCATCTCTACTATAATGGATAAACAAAAAAGAAAATAGAAGGTTCAGTAAACACAACCATCTTGGCCTAACTGACACATACAAAACTTACACCCAACAACTGCAGAGTAGGAAGTTGGACTATTTTTAACTTTAAGATGACTTTCATCTCTGAAATTCTAAAATTTACTCATCTTTTCCTAAGAATATCTCCCTTAGTCCAGCTTCCCTGTTGTGTGTTGCTAATAATGTATTTTCGGCCACTTCCCAAATATGCATGAGGCTGTGGAGGTGTCTTTAATGTTGTAAACATGCAGGCTGTGGGCTCCCATCCTTTCCCCAAACCTTGCTGGTTCTTTTAAGTGAACATCTCTCTCATCTGCTTCCTCATTTGTATATCCCACATTATAACCTCAGCCTACCTCCCAATTCCTGGCCCCCCGACCTCTGAAACCACCTCTCAACCTGGCCCTCAACCTGGCTTCTTGTTCTGAGCTATCCTGCAGGAACCAGCCACACCTTCATATGCAACACATTGCTGCTATGAACCCATTTATTCTTCTCCATCCCCCTAAAGGCCCCAGAACTTACACCAAAATAGGATGAAATGATTATAAGAGGACATCAAACCAAGGGAAAATACGTGTAGGTAAATAACATAAAATGAGAGATAAGGTGAGTCCTCAAAAATTCATGCTTCAAATACTATTGAATTGCTAGAGGTAGATCAAAATTGGCTTCAAGGGCACTGGTAGGTCTAACTGGTTCAACTCCTCAGCAGGATGCTTCAAAACCTGCTTCTCCTCATCTTCCACTAGTTCCGTGTGCCCCTAATTCCCCCTGGGAAAACATGCCCCCCCCTTCCTGTGTCTATTGCTCTATCCCCAGACTTTTGCAATTACAGAGAGAATCATCGATTCCAATGCAGAATTCAGAATAATGTGGCCACGACTGGCATGAGTTCAAGTCATGCCTTGAACTACCTACCCCAGATTCCAGCTGTTTGGAATTTTACCTACCTCATAGGGTCCTTGGAGAGTTTAACTGGGATAATGTGTGTCAAGGAGATAGAATCAGGTTTTAGAGCCACTCACCCCTGTTCCTCTCCTTGGACCCCTGGTCCAAGTCCTTGACCAGGTGAGCTCTACGCACAAGAACCATTAGCCAAATGGGAAATGAACTCCATTTGTTAAATTAGTAACTGGATGAGCACATGACTTTCTCCCTTCCCCTCTCGGTACTTTAAGGCTTCTCTGGTGATTTACACTGGAGAACATGACTTAGAATAAGGGCCTCTTTTTTCCTGCACCCCCCTCCTAACTTAGAGTCCATGTTTGCCGAACAGACCCTAAAATTACTCATCTATCCAGCCTCATGGATAATAAAGTCCATCCCACCCACCCAGTCACAAGCAGAAGCTGGAATACTATGAGCCAGGAAGATTTCAGAGCTTTCTGAGGCAGGCAGGTCAGTAGGCCCAACTGAGTATGCTTTACTGCATGGAGACAAGAACTTCAAGAGAGGCCCACAGACCGTGAGCCACGCTTCCAGATGAGGTCACTCACCGCAGTGAACAGTGACCCCGTGAGCGTCTTTGGCTATAACTAATCAAATTAGCAACTCACAACACAGAGACACAAAGGGAAGTACTCAAGGGGCAAAACTGTGGAGAGGGGCCTGAACATTCCTCCCCCTTCCACAGTACGTGAAATCACACAGCGTGAAGCTTAGCATCTAGAAAGCACTTACTGCCTCATACACATTTGATGTTTTCCACAGGGCTGTCCTCATGATTTTAATGTAAAATTGCTTTTCAGCATGGGTGTGCCTGTTGATACTCCTCCCAACAGTAAGAAAAAACTGGTTTCATCACACCTGAGCCACAAACACAAAGATTGTATCAAAATTCTGTTTCTTAAAAATTTCCTAGCTAATGGAAGTTAGTACTCATTTCCACTTCCCTTCACCAAAAACCCAACAGATTACTTTCCATACTCCCTGGTATCTGCATATGTTGTTAATATGTCTTTATTTTGGGCTATCATCTAAGACAACAATTTGTCCTTGTGTCTTATTGCTTTCGATGTCATTTGTATGCATTTTAGATCTCAGCTTTTTAGAGGGTAGGGAGCCACTTTGGATTAATTCACTCAGCATACACTATACACAGGTGTGTGTGTGTGTGTGTGTGTGTGTGTGTGTGTGTGTATGTGTGTGTGTTGTACAGGATAAGTAAGTAATATAACTAATTCTTAACTCTTTATAGGTAGAATCTAGGTCTTTATTTTTGTCTCCTCCTAATTTCAAAGAGAAGGGAGGAAATGGGGAAGTGGGAAGAAAGTTTTCTTCTGAAAAGATGTTGGAAGAAGCACCAAGTAAAACAAGAATGTGGGGATTATCTAGTGATTTCATTTAACCACCTTCTGTCTTTTCTCCAGTCCCCGGTTGTAATAATTTACAGGAATACAGGAAGCCACAGAGTGTGATAGTGGAAAGCACTGTTGAGACTTGGAATCAAACTTCCAATGTGCAGATGTTGGCTCCAGCAATTATTAAAGCCTGGTGACTCTGGGCAAAATACTCAACCTCACTTGCTTCAGTTACCTCCAACAAAAATTGGGAATACCAACAACACCATTTTTGTTATATTATAAAAATGAAATGCTTCGATGTCAGTAGCATGATATCTGGGACACAGGAAATGTTTAAAAAATTAAAAGCATAATTACTTAATATTGATAATGATAATTTTAGCCATTTCACATGGCAGTGAGTACAGAGATCTCTAGGAATCAGAAAAGAAAAACTTACTTCTTTTTCTTTTTGTATTATCCAGCTTCCTACAAGAAAATAAACACTCATATCCTTAAGATCCCAGGGGTAGATGAGGTACAGCTCACCTGCCAGGCTGAAGGTTATCCCCTGGCAGAAGTGTCCTGGCCAAACGTCAGCGTCCCTGCCAACACCAGCCACACCAAGACCTCTGAAGGCCTCTACCGGGTCACCAGTGTTCTGCGACTAAAGCCACACCCCGGCAGAAATGTGAGCTGTGTATTCTGGAATGCTAACGTGAAAGAACTTACTTCAGCCGTCATAGACCCTTATGGTAAGAGCAGCCCACCCTTCCCGACTCCAGTAGTCAGGAAGTAGATGGCATACTCAGAATGAGTAATTGGAGGATAACGTAATAAAAAGTCTATTTGTGGAGGTGTGGTCAGGATCTAGAGAAGCGAGTAAGGTTATTGCCAGACCCTGGGGCTTCAACAGTCAGAGGAGTGACTGCTACTGTTGGGGTGGTTCCCGGATGGAAGCCAGGGAAACAAATACCCCAACCTCACACTCCCCCCAGCCTCCAGGCTCCTGCCTGTGCCTCCCATCCGCGGCACCCAGCTGCGAGTCAGAGAACAAGGGAGTCCCACTGATGTGTTTCAAAAAGGCCAACCTCTCAGAGCTCAGAACCCAGTGTTGAAGTGCAGAGGGTGAATCTGAAGAGGAAACAGATAATAGCCAGCATGAAAGCTAATCACTGTAATTCGGGCACGGTGCCTAGAGAGTCAGCAGAATAAATGTGACTTTGCTGGCTCTGCTGACACTCAGGTGGGTATGGGGTTTTCAAGGAAAGCTGGCCTTTTGTAAAATCTTTCAGAGCCTTTGCTGATGGCTCTGTGCCCCATACTTTAGAACTTCATACACCAGGGAAATTTCAAACAATCTGGGAGTCTGTTTTATTTTGTAGTTGCTGGGTAAGAACATCTATTTGCCAAATAAGAGCAACTCTACACCTAGTATCAAAATTCTTCCCTAAGAGACAGGTCACCTTCTCACCAAGCTCATCATAAGGTTCCTCTTGCCCCATCTAACAAACTGCTGCAAACTTTGTGGGCTTGAGACAACATGAATTTATTAGCTTACACCTTTGAAAATCAGAAATCCCAAATGGGCTTCACGGGGCTTCAAAGTGTCGACAGGATTGCAGAGGCTCTAAGGGAGAATTATATTCTTGTTTTTTCTAGCTTCTGCATTCCTTGGCTCATGGTCCCTCTTCCACCTTCCAAGCCACCAGCTGCATCCCTCAGACGTCTGCTTCTGTCATCACATCTTTCTTTAATTCTCCTGCCTCCCTCTTCCACCTTGTAGGGACCCTTGTAATTGCATTAGACGCCTTCCCCCAACCTGATAATTCAGGTTAATTTTCCCATTTTAAGGTCCTTAATATAATCACATCCGCAAAATCCCTTTTTGCCTGTGGGGTAACACGTTCACTGGTTTCAGATATTAGAACATGGACATCTTTGAGGGAGCCATTATTCTGCTACCGTACCAGCAAAGGATATAATCTCCGAATAAAGGGCAGTCCCTAGCACTGCTTAAATTTGACATAATTTATAGAAACTTTAATATTGTCATTATATTCCACTTTTTGCCCTTTGTCTTAGTTAGACAAAACAGAGCCTATGATAGGAGCTCGTGTGGCATGCCAGTATTTAGGTGGTGGCCTCAGGGAGCAGGGATGGGAGGCTTAGGAGATTCAGACCAGATGCAAGAATTGAAGTTGTTGCTATCAGCAAAACGGGAGCTCAAATACCCAAAGACCACCTGGGAAGTGTACAGACAGCCTCCCACGATGCTCACTCAAAGCACTTCAGGTGGAGGTCATCTCCTTTCACCCCTGTTGGTTGACAGCAGTCTGCAGGACTGTGCACTCCATGCTGGGAGCTATGCGTGCATGTGGGCTGAGTGAGTTCCCCCCAGCACCTGTAGTGTCAAGTAATCCCAGGGCAGAAAGCAAAGTACCCATTTGAGGTGAATGAAGCAAGTCAAAGGTCACCAGACTTCTCCCGAGCTGTGGCTGAAGTTAGAGGTGAAGCCAAGAGGAAGTGAGAGAGGACTGCAGCAGTCTGTCCCTTGCCCTATAAGCCCCGTGACTAAGCCTTCGGGCTGGGAGGCAGCCATGAAGCCATATGGTATCTCTTCACAAGATTTCATAGGCAAGAGTTCATAGAACAAGCTACAGTTCTGGCTGCTGAAGTGGATGCCAAGCCATAACCGATCATTGTCCTCTCTCTCATCCCCACACATTCTAGATCTCCCTCACTCAGCACTTCAGATGGAGCAGAGGAGTGGGGGCGGGGAGGGGGCTGGTGACTCTCGCTTTCAACCCTGAGAGCACTGAGCCCTTGGTTGCCTTGCCCGGAACAGACTGACTTGCTGCAGTTGCCTTTTCTTTGTTATTACTGAACGTGGAAGTACAAAAATCAGAGAATCCATGGATCCCCGAGTTCCAGACCTAACCTTCTGTGCCTGCATTAGGTAGCAGCTCTCACGTTCTTCATGGTAATCAAGACTAATCGCTCTGTCAGTAGAGAAATCTTTGCCTGCTGGTCCACCCATGGGTAGAACTCAAGCTATGAATTTAGACCAGTAGAGCATATCCCTTGATGGAAGCATTTGCCACTAGGAAGCTGGACCTTTAATCCAGTAGAGCCTAAATTTGTGCAGATAAGAAGGAAAAATCCCACATATGGGTCACTGAACATAACAGTGAGAAGGACCAAGCTTCAGCATTGAGGAAACCCTGGCACAGAAGCAGCATGTGCTTGAGGTGAGATTATCAGGGGGAAGTGAATCAGAACCTGACTGGAACCATCCATCATTCAGCCACATTCAGCCCTGGCTTAAATCAGGGCTGGGACAGACAGGATAGAAGCTGGGGCATCAAAGATATCTGCTCTATCTCAAATTAATTTATATTTCATCATGAACTGGCAGGACTGAGGACTTTGAAGTGACTCAATCCCCATCTCATCATTAATTTCCCAGGATTTTCTTCGGGAGGAAAAAACCCTCCCTGATATAGTTTTCAGGGGCAGCCAGCCGCCTTCTCATTAAGAATTTCACTACCAACCCCCCCCCCCCCGCAATCTATCCACACTTTACTACCCAATTCCAACACTAAGGTTAGGCCAGCTTCTTTCTAACTGAATGGATTTGAGAAAGTGAGACAGTAAAGAGAGATGTCATGCTAAGAATCTTGGTAGAAATGAAGACATTAGAAACACCTCATTTTTAGGGTCAACTTTGAGGAAAAATAGTGAATTAGGCAAGCTGGTCTTTAACGTTCTCTACCTCTCTTTTTATCACAGTGCAGATCCTGAGACTTGACACCTTATGAAAATTGAGATACAATTAATTCATACTAGGGCTTTAGAGGCTTAAATACTAACAGTCACAGAGGAATTTATTTTTCTTGGAATTGTTGAGTAACTGTCCTTTGCTGTGTGGAATTTCCTGCCTGGTTAAGTGTAGGCCAGTACTTTGGATGGAATGTGGTTTTCCAGAAGGATCAGGGAAATAGGGGCCTGGGTAAGATGAACTTGGAGATAACTGGAATCTAGCCTTTGCACCACCGATTACATCAGTGTTTTTTTCTTTGCGGTGGAGAAGTAGGAAGGGCACACTGACCATTCCTCTGGAGACTTTGAACCAGTGATAAATTATGAATGAATGAAGGTGGTTCTTCTTTCCATGGAAGTCAGTGTAGCTGAATGAATAGTCAACAATCACAGGAGAGGCCCGTGGGGTCTGCATCAGCTCAGGATCTTCTAGGATATCACTCATAAATGTAACTGGCAAGGGCACGGAGAGATTTTCATGCAGTTAGAGACTTTCAGCCTACATTTACCTATTCTTCCCAGAATTATATTCATGCTACTACCTCCTGACATGGTTCCTGGGCTCTGGTCAGCTCTCCTTCCTCACCAGTGCTCTCTGAGATTTCTGGCACCTCTCCCACCCCCATGATTTCTCTGCTCAGGCAGTTTCTTCCACTGAAAACATAATTACTCACCCTCTTCACTGCCTTGAAGTCTGCCCTCTCTCCAGAGCAGCTTAGATAATCCCAGGGCACAAGGGGTCCTTCCCTTATCTCTTCTTCTAAGACTGATTACCTGTACCATGACTTGGTTTGCCTGTGACTATACTTGTCTTTTATCTTTCATTGTATTTTAATTGTTCACATGGGTCTTCTTTGTGGCAAAAGCTAAAACAGTATGCCCATACTAAGCTAAAACACACTGCCCATACTAAGTGCTCAATTAATGTCAGATTAGTGGGTTGGAGGATTAGCCGTGATAAAACAGTCCCATTATCCCAGCCAACAGACTGTGTGGACCACCAGATCAGAGCAGTCAAGTGACCCCCTGGTTTGTAGCATTAATACCAGCAACAAATAACCAGTCACACGTCCTCCCACGGTTCCTGGCATTTTAAGCTGCTTTATGACTGTCCTTTTTCTGGTCATTCTCATCAGTTGAGTTGCTCATTGCTGATTCTGTGACCCATCACAAACTTCTCTAGAAGTCAGTGAATAAAGCAAATAGAGCAATGAGAGTCTGGTGGTGGGAGGTGCCCCAGTGTTTGTAGGATGGATGACTGAACATCCTAACTTGATTAGAAACAAAGGGGCAATGAGTCCATTTTCCTTTTGAAACAGGGTTTCCTCTGCTCAGCCCATTGTTCCGTTTCATGAGGAAATATAATGGGATTGGAACACAGGAAATAACTATAAAAACATTTTTATGGGGCCGGAAGTGAAGCCATCCAAGGAGACCTGGAGGGGACTCTCTGGCAGTGGTCAAGAGCATGGGCTCAGAAATCAAACAGACTTGATATTTAAATCCTCTCTCTGCCACTAGTAGCTTTCAGAACATGAACATATAACTGAGTCACCCTAGAACTTGGTCTCACATTTGTAGAATAAGAATAATGACAGATAACTTAGAGGGTGATGGTGAGGATTAAATGGAATATGCCTGCTAAGTCCTTAGCACTCAGAAAGTATGGAAACGGGGGGGGAGGGGAGCGGGAAATATAGTGCCTCTATCAAGAAGCATGGCTTCCTTGAATGCATGGGACTGTGGGGAGATGAAACCTAGTTTTCCCATTGTATCATCATATCATTGTTAAGTAACATGTAATTATTATAAAATAATTTATAAGAATATGTATTAGAATAAAGGCTAAGCTGCTACAACAGAGAGACCTCAAAATGTGACTCAAACAGGATAGAAGTCTATTTCTCTCTTAGGTAATTCAGAGCAGGTAAGTATCTATATTCCATAAAGTTATTCAGTGATCCAGGTTCTTTCCATCTTGTTGCTTGCCGTTCTCTAAAATGTTTTCTCTGTTGAATTGTCAAAGCCGGGTCACTGCCACATCAAAAAGGAAAGAGAGTCAGAAAGGAAAGTCAGAAAGGAAAAAGAATGGTGGAAGACTTATCCAATGTTTTAAGGCCAAGGCTCAGAAGACCCATGACTTGAACTTAGTTTACATGGCTGGCCCACATCTAACTGCAGGGGAGGCTCCAAAATGTAGTCTTGAGAAGCCATGTGTCCAGCTAATGACCTCATACTCGGGGAAAAGAGAGAATGGATTTCAGGGATAAGCATCAGTCTGCCATAAGGTAAATAAGGACAGGGAGGATCGGGCTAGGTAGACAGTGATTAACTCGGCCCAACAAATCCTTTTTGACCTCTTTCATGTAGCTGGCACTTGGCTCTATAGGGGATTCAGAGATGACTTAGGTGAAGTCTTTGCTCTCCAAATACTTACAGTCTAAGCAGACTGATGTTCATTGTTAGAAAGTCTTGAGGGACAAGTAGAGCTTCTGTATGCAGAAGGGACTGTGAAGGAACCTTCAGAGGACAAGGGTTTGTAAAGAGTCACTGAGGTAAGGACTTCTCCTGTTGTGGGGACACTGAAGGTCTCAGGGCCCCTTGACTTACAGTGCTACTGCAGTGGTACTTAATAAGCACTTCCTAAAAGTAAAAGAGCTGTTGTAATTAGTACAAGCTATCCAATGTGTGCCTGAGCCAGGCTTCTGAATCCTTTCTTCCTTAATGTTCACCACACTGATTTCAATAAAGACAAATGTCTGCGGGGATGGAGATTTGATTAAACCAATCTGGGCTTGCAATCCTGGCTTTGCCACTTATTTGGCATTGATAACCTCAGGTAGATTTTTTAGCATTTCTGAGCCTTACTTCCTGAACTCTAAAATGAGGGGCTCAGATTAAATGATGTCCAATCCCTTCTCAACTAAAACAATCTGTGATTCTCAGATGGCACTGAGATGGGGGAGAGGGAAGGCAGTTGGCAGGATTGAGCCTTTCCTCCTGAGCACTCTTGCCAGGTTTCTCCTGGACCACAGTGTTATGTTTATTCTGCAGTAGTTACTCCATGGGGCAAAATGCAGGCTTTTGGAAAGGGCACAGCTTACCTTGGGTATGCTTCTTTCTCCCCATTGTGAAGCCCCCTCCAGTTCTTCCTCACTGTCAGTCTGGAACCCTTATTCTAACTTCTAGATACTCAGAACTCTCCTTTACAAGGCCTTCCCCTGTCTCCAAAATTGCTTTTCTCACCCGCCTCTCCAGTAAACTCACCTTTTCCTCAGTGCCAGTCCTCAGTGATTAGCTGAGACAAGGAAAAGGACATGCTGTAGTAATTCACACTAAGGTATGAATGTCTGGATTTTGTATGTTAACACTATCTACAATATTATACTTTTTTCCCCAAAAGGATCCCTGTTAACCCTTGAAATTGATTGACTAATGGTATAGATTCTAAACACTGTGAATGCTTGACAGTGGAGGGGGAATACATGTTTGGGTTGAGAGACCATCCTACTGGAAAGAAAGAGATGATGATAGATAGATAGATAGATAGATAGATAGATAGATAGATAGATAGATAGACAGACAGACACAGTAGATGGATGAGAATGATGAAAACCATAGAATCTGGAACCAGACAGCCTGGATTATATCTCAGCTCTGTCTCTTACAGTGCAACTTTGGAAACATTTCCCAGACACTCTGGACCTCCCTTTCTTCACTGGTAAAATGAGGGTCATAGCAGAGCCTGCCACATAGGATGGTCGTGAGAAGTAGACGAACTAGTACCTGCAGGATACACAGAACAGTACCTGGTTATAACCTCCTCAGATGGTCAACTTGTTGGTCTATCTCTAAGTTCCCATGTAATGGGATTCTGGTGTTGTTTTTTGTTTTGTTTTGTTTTGTTTTTTTTCATCCAGGTGACCTAGAACCCAAGATCCCTTCAAATTGGCTGCTTCCTGTTTTCATCCCTTCCTTCATCATTGCTTTGATTTTCATAGCTACGATGACAGCCCTAAGGAAACAGCTCTTCCAAAAGCTTTATTTTAGAAAGGGTAAGTGAGTTTTATTCATGGTAACCAAGTGGACTGGGTGTCTGCAATGTGGGGTTCTGCTTGGCCCCAGCAGTCTACAGCTCCCCAGTTTCATACCAATCTCCTCAGGGCTTATGAATCCCTTTGGACTCATCCTGATGATTTTTTCCCCAGAAGAAAACGGCCCTAGTCTTCTTCAGTGAGCTGAAATCCTCATACGGAATATTTTTAAAGGAATGTTTTGTTCCTATGCTGAAATAGTTTGCTTTGTTCTTTGAGCCAAGAAGAGTCATTAGCCTCATGAGATCAGTGTCATTTTGGTAATGCAGACAACTATGTGGTCAGAGTTCACGGGCAGGAGGATACCAAGATCACTTCTGAGGATTCCTTCAGTTCTCTCCCCCTCTTTCCACATTCTGGGCGTCAGCTGGGCTAAGCCCTCCCCAACCCCTAGGAATCTGAATCCCTTGGTTGGTAATGAAAGAAGAGAAGTGTGTGAGGCCATTTGCGGGCAGGAAAACCACCTGTTTTGATGACTCCCTAATGTCTTTCAGTGGCTCCCCTGGAGTCCCTCCTCAGCCTATCCTATTCTCACCCACCTACTCCTGTCATGTAACCTTTGAACCCTGGCCAGAATATCTGCAGACTTGTCTTCTGGTTTACTAAACTGCTCCTTTGTCAGCACCCAGTAAGCTCCTCCCAAGGTCTACACATGGCCTTGTTTATAGAAAAGGAAATGACATCTGGGAATAATCCAATAGGAATTGGGGGTGGCCATTATTTGAGAATTGGGAGGCTTTATTGGTGTTTGTTATGCTACATTTACAGTCTAACCTCTGTATTCTCATCTGTCTCAAAATACTATCATGCTCTATTTGTCCACTGCCCTATGTATGCGTTAACTTGGGTGCTAACCACAAAACTCTCTACTATAGAACCCAAGGAACTATTGTCAAAAGAAAGGGGAGTGGAGGTTGAGGAAGAAGGAAGAAGGAAGAAAGGAGGAAGGAGAAGAGGAAGAAGGGAAAAAGAAAAAGAGGAAGAAATGATAGAAATGGAGAGGAAAGGCATTTCACCATAAAGGAGGAATTATAGTGTCTTCTCTGACAGAACTTTAACTAAACAGAATCACTTCTTTTTTTCTTTAAACATTTTATTTGGGTGGCGCCTGGGTGGCTCAGTCGGTTGAGCGGCCGACTTCGGCTCAGGTCGTGATCTCGCGGTCCGTGAGTTCAAGCCCCGCGTCCGGCTCTGTGCTGACAGCTCAGAGCCTGGAGCCTGTTTCGGATTCTGTGTCTCCCTCTCTCTGACCCTCCCCCGTTCATGCTCTGTCTCTCTGTGTCTCAAAAATAAGTAAACGTAAAAAAAAAAAATTTAAAAAAAAAAAACATTTTATTTGGGGAAGGGGGAGCAGAGAGAGAGAGAGAGAGAGAGAGAGTTAATTTCAAGCAAGCTCCCCCTTAGCACAGAGCCTGACAGGAGGCTTGATCCCACGACCCTGGGATCATTACCTGAGCCAAAATCAAGAGTCGGATGCTCGACTGACTGAGCTGCCCAGATACCCCAAACAGAATCACTTCCACAAATCTATGACCTCAGAGAGCCATGGCAGATGCCCCTCATTAGAATTTAATCTTCTGTCATTCTTCTTTCACCTCCCCCATACACACCCCTCAGGAACAGGTCTATACCGAAGTTCTAGGCCTGCGACCTGAGAACTTAGTCACGTGAGAAATGAGCAACAGAGTTTTCTGTCCTTACCCTGTCTGGGAGAATGAAATGGGGTCACACTGAAAGGTAGAGCAGAAAAAAGTCTTTCCCTTATCCTTCACCCCAGTCTCAAGAGTGAGCGAGGTTATCAGTAGTTCCACACTAGGTGCAAGGCTTGGGTACCAACTGTGGTGGGAGACATTTGTTGCTAATAAGAGTTGAGAGAGTAAATTTGCAAATGGTTCCTTATTTGTTTGTAATGAGCCAGAGTGAAATCATGGATGCCTGTATAATACAACGCCATACCCCAACTCACATGCGCTGGGATCTGCTTTCCCTCATGGGAGGCACATGGACACACACGCACACACATCTGTGTGCCTTGCATGTGTCACGAAAGAAGGTTGAGAATGGCTGACCCTGTAAATAGAGCTTTAAACCAGAGTCAGAAGGCTAGGTTGGGACCTGAAGCTGCCATTTATTGGCTCTATGATCTTGTACAAATTACCTAACTTCCTTGAGATGGCTTTTTCTATCTGTAAAATGGGAAGCGACATGAGAATGAGCATTTTACTGCTTATTGACCCAACCTCACTGCCACTACTGAGGTTCACCTGGACTGGAACAGAACCCTCCCAACTTGTCTCCCTGCACCCATTTTTGCCACCTGCAGTATGGGTCTATTTTCCCTTCTAGCCAGAACAGGCTTTCAGATTCTCAAGTCTACACGTCTCCATGATCAGACCTCACCCATGGCTTCCCACTGCTCCCTAGGTGAAGTCCCAACATGCCCTGAGTGGTGTGGCTCACAATTCTGGCTTTTTCCTGAGACACCATCTCCCTCGTTCTCTAAGCTCTAGCCATGTGAGGGTCCTAAGTCCTCAGTGCCACCCCACCCCTTCAGACCTGAGTTTTCTCATGTAGCACGCAGTCCTCTTAAAGTATTTTCTTCTCCTTGTCCACCTGACTTGGTGTCATCCCTTAAAACTTGGTGAAGCTACTACTTCTTCAAGCCTCTCCTGATTCTGCCCCCCTCACCACACCCATTACAGGACATCCCCTTGTGAGATGCTTCCGGTACCTACTTCTCCTTCCAGCACCCTCATCACACAGTTATACGTCTAGGACCTGTTTCAATACCTTGGGCCACAAACTCAATTGCGTCCCTTTTAATTTTCCAACTAATTCCTCAAGCACCCACCTACCTGTCTTAGACATCCAATGTCTCCCCCTTACAGCATGGACTTCCCCCCCTCCAACATACTGTCGCAAGGCCAACTTAGCCCACAGGGCTGCTGCTTCCAAACAGACAGGGAGGCTCCTGGGGAGCCAGGGCAGTTCCCCTGAGGGCCCTGATTTTGAGCTCTTTCTATTCCTGCCATGCACATCTCTGTTCCCTCTGGGGGTCTCCATTGACCATGCAAAGGCAGCCTTGCTGGTCCAGATCCCCACGAAGACCAGAGTGACCCAAGCTGACACTTTCCTGGCCCCCCTCATGTGTGCTTCCATGGTTCCTGAAGCAGGACCCTCAAGGGCTGATGAGGCAGAAGGGGCTTCCCGCTTTCCCCACAGCTGTGCCCAGCCAGCTTCTTCTGGCTGAGGTCTTTATGTTAAGTCTGGGATGCCAGTCCTAACTTCCTTCTCTTGAGTTCCTCTTCAAGCCATTGCTGTCCTGAACTTCTCAGTCTATCAGAGAGAGTCAAGTAAAGGGGTGGCTCTCTTAGTCCCTCTCTGCCCAGAAAGCTCATTGGCTCCTAAACGGACTTGCCCATCTATGACTCAGCGACCAGCTCTGCACACCACGCTGTACAGGAAGGGCAGCTGTGGCCAGTCCACAGAAGGTTCTGTTTACCATCTCTACCTGAGAGGAGCCCTCAACAGTGCGGGGCTCCAGGTGACTCACTGCGTTCTAGAGAAGGAGCTGGCAATTTCTGTTGCAAAAGTAATGTAAAGTTCTGCCTCATCTGTTGGTCTTTAAGTTTCATGACAGCAGGGGCTGTGTTTCTCTTATTTACCAATAAATGCCCAGTGTCTGGAACATTGCCTGGCACATGTAGATAGATGTTCAATAAAATTTTACACATTGAACCTACTATATGCAGGTGTCCATGCTAACTTGCTCTGTATAATATAATAGCCATATGTGGTTATTCAAATTTAAATTAAGTAAAAATTCAATTCCTTGGTCATGTTTTAAGTGCTCAATATTGTTAGTGGTCAATAGCCACGTGGGGCTAGAGGCTATTGGACAGAGCAGATATACAATATTTCCCTCTTTGCAGACAGCAAAATATGTCCCTCTTTGGACAGCACTGGGCTAGACCCTTTACAAACTTCTTTTCAGTTAATTTTACAAAAACTTCTTGAGGCAAGGAGTAGTGTCTACACTGCACATGAAGAAACTGAAGCTTCAAAAGTGTTCTTAAAGTCAAATAGCTGGGGTCTGAACATAAGTCTGTCTGATGCTGTATGGCCTTTTCGTTGCAAAATAATAAAAACTGACTCAATCTGGATAGTATTATGTTGGGCAATGGAAGGCGAGAGTCTCAACCCAAAATAATTGAATGGCTTGATCATTGGCTGTGCCGATGGCAAAGTCAAGAACAGAATCCAGGAGGGAGCAGCAGCTATAAAGAGACCAGATCTCTAGAACAAGCCTGCAGCTCATAAGAATAATATTTCTCAAACTTTCTGTTATAAGGAACCATTTGTTTTTACATTTCCAATATTTTAGCATCAATGCTTTTGCAATATATACTAAAACTTAATTACTAAAAAGTAAAATAAAAAGAACAAAGACATACAACCATAAGCTCAGTTTTTACTGGATTCAATAAACCTCTGACATGTCAATAAATATGATCAGAAAAAAACACAGTAAAAAGATTACTATAGAAGTTGCTAAGTGTTATACTAAATCTCGGTAATTGTCTCATTGTGGGCTGGTAACAAATAGTTCGCCCACCAGCCCCAGCCCATGGACTCTACACTTTGAATGGCACTGCCCTAAAAGACTGAGCTGGAACTTTACAGGGATTTAAACCAAAGACCAAATATGTTGTCTGATGGTTAAGGAAGGTCTACAGGATGGCAGCACTTTCTCAAGCGTTAGAGAGGACCGGACTGAAACTCCATCATTCATGGGCAATTTCTATGGGTTAACTCTTAGGCTCCTTTCAAATGTAACTCCTCTTCGGGGAGACTTCAGTGCTGGATAAAGGCCCTCAAAGTCCAGGCCAAGGGTGGTATTGTCATGAGGCGGTTGCTAAAAATCTAGTGTACAGAGCAAAAGCAGAATTAGGGATGCACAGAGTTTAGAAACCCGGGCATCAAGCTCTAGAAGGAAATCAGAGCTGGGACAGGGAACACGTGACATCAAGGGTTGAAAAAGAGATGAAACCAGGCAAACAGTGGTGAACAACATCCTGTTATGTGAACTTGTGCTTCTGCCCCGAGTTCCTCTGGAACAATATTGGTCAGGTACACCTTAGTATAAATTAATTGATCAGCCCTTTTGCTTCATGTAGGGCAGACCAGAAGGAAGTGACAGTCAAGAGCAAAGCAGAACAGGGAAAGAGAATTCTGAAGCCAGACGTTTCCTGGGGCTGAATACCCAAATTAAGAGTCCCTCAGCCTTTGAGTGCCTGGTGACCAGGGGCTGAGACAAGAATGGAAAGTACAGCTACTATTTTGTTCATGGTTTCTGCCTAAGGGTACAGTTTTCCCTTATCTGTTGTTCAGCCTGATGTCTCAAGCCACAGTAGGCATTGGGCCTCTACATGTGATTTATTTGGATTAACTTTTCATTCTGCCATCTGTTAGCCTATAAACAGAACACTTTTCTCAGTAATCTTATCCTGTCCCTGGGATTTCTCTTTTTCAGACACAACCAAAAGATCGGTCACCACAATAAGGAGGGAAGTGAACAGAGCTGTAAGTAGTCGTGACTTACCTTATCTCTTTCACCTCTTTTCTTCTCCTAGCTTAAATTAAGAAATAAGCCCTGTTCTCGGAATGCACAAAAGGGCAATGGAATAGTCTCAGCCTGCACAGAATCTTCCTGTTCAGTGGCATTTCTGCCCATTGCTACTGTGACCTTAGGTTGTTCCACGCCTCTCTTGGAGGAAAAAAAAAGTGTCTGCTGTGCAGCCACAGAATAGTTGTGTACTCTTTGGTCTGTCTCTATTCCTAGGCATTACCGGGAATCTGCACAGGACATCAGGGCCCACATGCTTAGAAACACGTTTAACACTTAACAGCAAGGGAAGATACTCAAATCTGAACCAATCAACAACTCATGTTTTTGCAACCGTTGTTAAGTACATCGTTGGGGGCTGTGAGTCAAAGTTGGGGGAATAGAAGTCTCTTCATGAGGCTGACAGGCTTGGAGCTGGAATTTGTGGGAAAGGATATGATATGGAGGTCAGGAGAATTGGTTGCTAAAAATTATTCAGCCTGGTTGGATGAAATGCTTAGACCCTGAGGAAGTGGTTTTTGGGGACCAGACCTGGGTCCTCTTGCACAATGGGTATTTCTAGCTTTCTTAGGAAAACCACCTTTCCTTTTGAAACCTGGGGATCACATGGTGTGACGCACGAGCTCATGAGCTTGCCAAAATCATAGGCAACTCATAGAAATTTGTAAATAACTTTGCTATCAGCTACTTGAAATATTCAGAACTCGTCATTTTAGAGTTCTGTTGAATGTGTCTGTAAAATTCCAGAGGCACCAACTGTGAAAACAACTCTAAAAAACCTTCAACACCAGGGTCAGTGCCTGGCAGCTCAGAAGCACAAAATATGATTGACAGGAATGACATTGGGCCCTGCTCCCTCCTACCACATCCCTGAAAGCCATTCGTGAAAACACATCCCATTACTGCAATACTCGTCCCTGGGCACAGAACAAGGAACAAAGGCAGTTTAGGTCTGGACTATACTTAAGGTCTAGTTGTGCTGAATTGCTCTGAATCAACAATGAGATACTCTTAACTCAGAAAAGTTTCAGATTATTACTGGCAGTCCTAACTGAAACATCTGTTTCTTGAGAAACAAAACTCCTATAGTCCGATAGACTGGGATACTTGGTCTACATGTGGGTTTCCATGGGAGAGACCTCAGTATTTGTGCTTCATGAGCTCTGAGTCTTTGTATAAGCGTCTCCTTCAACTGCTCAGCATAAGGAAGAAAGAGAAAAAGGGTGTCGTCTGCTGTAGAGCCACAGAACAGTTGGTTTGAGAGCAGAGGTGGTAAGGTAAACTCAGATGCCCAGACGGCCAGGCAAGTATTGAAATGAGAAAGAAGGGCACACTATAACCAGATAGGGGATGGTGACCAACTGGAGGGCATATTCCTGTGAATTTAGCACCAGGCTAACATTGTTGGAGAAGATGAAATCCAGATTTTTCTATAAAATGTCCTAGTTATTAAATGCTTGCTGGAAGTATTTCAAATACCAAACAAACCAAATAAAATATGTCCATAGGCTAATTGAACCTATGAGGGACCAGTTGCAACCTGCCCCCTAGAGAGAAAGTATTGTCAGAAAAGGGGTTAGAATCTGAGTAATGAAGGCAAAACCACGTATGTGAGGAATTGAGGGAGGCTCAAAGGCTTGCGGCCATTCTGCATGTCTCATCCTATGGCCTGCCACATGGCCTGAATAGCACATGGTTAATAGAGGGACTTTCTTGGATTAACAGGGTATCACAACCATTTTTAAACAATACATCTCCTTGTAAGCAGAAAAACCTCATACTCTTTTTTAAATGGTAGGTGAAATTCAAAGTAAAGTAAATATCTTGGTCAAAAGTCAAATTAAAGAAATTAGACTGGGGTGCCTGGGTGGCTCAGTTGGTTAAACATCCAACTTATGGTCTCAGCTCAATGTTGATCTCAGGGTGGTGAGTTCAAGCCCTGCATTGGGCCCCCTTCTGGGGGTGAAACCTACTTGAAAAACAAAAAACAACAAAAAGAGGAAAGATGGGAGGGAGGGAGGGAGGGAAGGAAGGAAGGAAGGAAGGAAGGAAGGAAGGAAGGAAGGAAGGAAGGAAGGAGACGAATTCTCTTCTCTTTCCCCCCAACCAGTAACATATAGTCGTCCTTTGTACCTTCTAACCTGGGGAGGGAGAGTCAAGGAGGTGAAAGAATGATGCTTCTCTTCTCTCTTCCTCACCCCTCCCTGGCACTTAAATATGTGGTGTGATGTAAAGAGGTCAGGATCATTTAGATATACATCAAAGAGGGCTCACACAGGAATGTTCCTGGTACTTTTATTTACAATAGCAACAAATCAGAAATACAGGTGAATAGGAAATATAAACAACTAAAATGAAAGCACAAAAAATAGATATATTTTTGAGATGGATAAATCTGAAAAATATAATTTAGGGAGAAAAGATACACAGCAGAAAGATAGAGACAATGTGTGGGCAATTATAGAGTTTAAAAACTGCAAACAACCTCTATGTAGTGTTTATGGAAACAGTCATGTGAAGTAAAAGTACGAAAACAACCAAATTTAACCTCTTAAACTGGGTGGTGGGGATGCCGATGGTGACGATATTATTCTCCTAGTTTGTTGTATGCCTGAAATGTTAATTTTTATAAAGAAGAGGTCATGACTAGAATTCAAGAGATTTAGACTCTAGTTTTCCTGTGAGCTACACAATCTAAGGTAAGATCCACCAAGGGGCACTTGAATCTTCTCCAGAGAAACAGAACCACTAGGACACTGGCAAGTGTGAAATCTATAGGGCAGGCTTGGGGGCTGGAAGAAGTTCAGGTAGGAGTTGAAATTAGGAATCCAAAATCTGTAGAGTAGGCCAGTAGGCTGGGAACTCAGGTGAGATGTCTATGCTACAGTCTGAGGCAGAATTCCTTCTTCTCTGGGAAACCTCATTTGTTGCTCTTCAACTGATTGAATGAGACCCACCCACATTCTGAGAAGGCAATATGCTTTATTTTTTTTAATTAAAAAAAATTTTTTAACACTTATTCATATTTGAGAGAGACAGAGACCGAGCATGAGTGGGGGAGGGGCAGAGAGAGAGGGAGACACAGAATATGAAACAGGCTCCAGGCTCCGAGCTGTCAGCACAGAGCTGGATGTGGGGCTCAAACTCACAAACAGTGAGAACATGACCTGAGCCGAAGCCAGACGCTTAACTGACTGAGCCACCCAGGCACCCTGAAATTTGCTTTATTTAAAGTCAACTGATGACAGGCATTCATTACATCTACAAAACGTCTTTACAGCAACATCTAGACTAACATTTGATCAAACAACAGGGTACAATAGTTTAACCAAATGGACACAGAAGACTAACCATCACATGCACCACCACATGAGGGAGGCAGTCTTGGCTGGAGTAAGTGAATTTGTCAGACCTTCCTGAGCCTCAAAAAATAGAAGTATGTGACTATTCTCTGGTCACAGAGTTGTCCGAGAGGCCAGGGCTTGGTCTAAAACCTGTTCATCCATGAACCTGCCACCCCAGTGCCTGCAGACTCACTATTTAGGGTTTTCTATTTATTTCACAGGGTTGTTTCTCCTCAGCTCACTGCCTCTTTCAACAAAAAAAAGGACATGTGTGGTATCAGAATCCTGCACTTTATGTGTCTTGAAATAATGAATAGTTGAGTAAATCTGGAAGGGGAAAAACAACCCTGTCACCAAAAGTACTTGATAAAATTAAACTGAAGGGTTTGGAAATGACTTGTCTGTCTTACTATCCATTTGTCTGTGCTTCTTATAGTTTATTCTGCAATAAATATAAAAATTGACTGATTTTGACCTAATTTGTCTTACTACTAAACGATGAATCTTGCTTAATTTTAATTGTGTTGGCCAGCTCAAAAATAAATAACTAATACAACTTTTACAACTAAAAAAAATTTTTTTTAATGTTTAATTTTATTTTGAGAGACAGAGAGAGTGAGCAGGGGAGGGGCAGAGAGAGACACACACACAGAATACGAAGCAGGTTCCAGGCTCTGAGCTGTCAGCATAGAGCCTGATGTGGGGCTCGAACCCACGAACTGTGAGATCATGACCTGAGCCTAAGTCAGATGCTCAACCGATTGAGCCACCCGGGTGCCCCTAGAACTTTTTAAAAATTACATATTTTTTTCTGAGCAAAAATGAAAAAAAAAATAATCCATTGCACACAGATTACCATGGTTAATATTTAATAGTGCTTTAATTTCTAATGTTTTTCTGTATTTAAATTTTATGAAATTAAATTATAGTATGTATAGCTTGATATAGTTTTCTGTAACTTAATTTTATGTCATTAGTATTACCCATGTGCTAAAAATATAATTAATGGCTTTGATATTTTATTGTATATATGGACTAGGACTTATCTAATTCTCTATTGCTCTACCTTTAGTATCTACCTCAGAGTTGTTTTATGTCTTTGTTATTTAAATATTGTCACAATTAGGGGCACCTGGGTGGCTCAGTAAGTTGGGCGTCTGACCCTTGATTTTAGTTCCAGTCATGATCTCATGGTTCATGAGTTCGAGCCTTGTGTGGGGCTCTGTGCTGCTTGGGATTCTCTCTCTCCCCCTCTCTCCCCTCCCCTACTCTCTCTTTTTGTTTCTCAAAACAAACAAGCTTACAATAAATAAATAAGTAAATAAATAAGTATCATCACAATTAATAATCTTATACACAGATCTTCATGTGCAGCTCCGATTATTACCATAAGGTAAAATCTAAGATGTAAAATTAAGGAGTAAAGCTATAGACATTTTTAAGGCTCTCAAAATATATCGCTGAATTGCCCTCTAAAAAGGTGTACCAACTTATACTAGCAATATATGAAAGATGTAGTTTCATCATTGCGTTTGTTCCAATGCTGGGTATTATCGTTTTTAAATTTTGCTAATTTAGAAATTGAAAACTGTACGTCATCATTACTTTAATTT